TTGACTTTGCTGAATTAATATACATTCAACCTTCAGACTCTGTTATTGAACATATGCTTGGTTATACCATGACTGGCCTTTTTAAAGACCACTGGGTACTTTTTGTAACATACTCTACGGAGAACAAACTTAAGGAATTTTGTTGCTGTATTGTCATTGATACTTGGAAGGTATTTCTTCTGTTAATAAAACTGAGCAGATACAACAGAATATGAGGAATACTTAGCATAGTGCTAATTTTTTTTTTTGTTTTTGCTAAGTAGAATTGAAAGTTTGCACATAGGAGACAGATTTGTATCTTGCTTGAACCAGTAAAGAACTTCTTGTTGTATTCAGCGCAACACAGTTTTAGTACTTTTATCTAAAGTACTCATAAGTATTGCTTATGGATGAAACAGGAAACTAGATACACAAGGGAAGACACCGAAAATCGAAAAAAGAAAATAGTAGAATTTTTCAACTGGAAGTAAGTTGCGATATTGCTTATAATAGTAAGGAGGAAAACAGTAAGGATTAACAATGAGCCTACCAATCTCTGGCTGGTGCTTGCCTTACTAGAAAGCACGGGAAACTTGGTAAAGGTGAAGTTCCTTTCAGTTCTTTTACTGAGGTGTGATGGTAGTCATTCATGTATCAGAGTGTTTGGTTATGAGAAAGGAGTTTGAATTTTACAATTGAAGAACTTAACGCGTTTACCTGTTTGCGTTGAAGCTAACCTTCTGCTTGATAACAAATCCAGTCCCTTTCAGATGGTGTACTCTGTCACCTGGAGTTTTCACAGGCTGAGTGATAAAGGTTTTGGAAAAAACTACCCCAATACGAAAACTGCACATCCCAGGGAAGATTATAACCCAAGGTCTTCACACCAAGCAGTGTGTGAAATAAGCATTTGACTTGGGAATACACCTCTTCAGGAGCATCGTGGGATCTGTTGGTTTTACTGGCCTCAGCACTGCCAGGCTAAAGCTGTGTCTGTACTGCTGAAATCTTATGTGCCTGGGGCTGCTTTGCAGCTGGCAGTGGAACAGCCCATGTCCATGCGGCTGTGCTGTTAGCCTCCAAAGCAGGGTGGCCACATCAGAACTGCCTACTGGGAGCAGTTCCCGGTTTGTGCCAGCTCACTGCCTGGGCTGGGGAGTCGTCTGGGAGAAAGCTAGTTATCCCTAATCAAAACCTATGCAAGGGACTGTGGCAACAGGCTCCCAGTGTGGGTGGTTGAGTTATGATACCTTCTCAAAGCATTCTTTGCAGTGTTTTAAGTTGTTACTGCAGGCAAAGCTCAGATTCCTCTGCTGTGGTGCTTTTTTTCTGGATTCTTTCCCTCTTGCATTATCAGAGTCTCATCAACTGTTAGATTTACATAACTTTCTCAAAATCAAAAGTCATCATGTCTGGAACCTGTGTGCACATCGGAGCTGTTCTAAGTTCTGAACTCTCTAGTGCTGTTCTGTTTCTGCTCTGGTGAAATAAGGGAGAAATGCATGTCATGCAATTTCATTTGCGGAATACAGCAGTTGTGAATGTTCTGCTCTGAATAGGTGGAAAATGTGTTCCTGGAAGGCCAACAAAAAAACCTCATAGCTGTCTTTACAGGCAGGAGCGATTGCCACACCTGTCTTATTACTCTTCATCCTAGATCTGAAAAATGTTATTTGAATACTACCATTTCTTTAAAATTTAATTTCTGTTTCCATTCAGTGAGAGTGTTCTCTTGTATTAACTCTTTCAGTGTCCTCTTGAGAACATAAGCAAGAAGAACATAAGGAAGCTGTCATTCATACTTGCTCCTTGCACTGATCAAACAAGTAAGCACACTTCCCCATCATTCCCTTATACTGACCCATTTCTGTGGGTCATGGGCCAAGTTTAAACTCTCAAAGACCACAGCAGATGAGACTGCCAAGTTTAAACTCTCAAAGACCACAGCAGATGAGACTATGACATTGTGTGCAGTGCCTGTAAGAGGGTGTTGAATGGATGAAGATCTTGAAGCCTGAAGAAGCCTGATTAAACTTGCTTGGGTAATGATGGGTGTAGAAGAACTGAGTTCTCTGGAACAGTGAGAGCTACTATCATCTTCCACAGTACCCCAAGGTCAAGCAGACAAAAAATAGACTTTATTTCTCTTTGTGTAATGCCAGTTTGTAAATTAGGGCATTTCTAATTTATGCTTGTTGTGGTTGAGCATAATTTGGTGAACTGGTATTCTTTAGGATGTTTTGCTTGTAAATTTTGATCAGGTATTTTTTGGGTGCAAAACTTACTACAGTGATAAAAGTCAGAAAATCATAATTTAAATCAGTGTTCAGGACTAAATGGTACTGAAGTACAAGTGCTGAGTACTCTGAAAGTATGTGATCACTGACACACATTGGTATCCTTTGCAGTTCACCTAATAATTTGTTTTCAATCCAAGAGCAGCAAGTCCTTAAGAACTGAAAATCATACTGTGGTGGGTTGCACTTAATAATTTGTTTACTTTACATATCAGTGTCACTCTGTGTGATGTTGGCTGTGTATTTATATTTCAACAGTAGGTTTAGTATGCTTTAGTTTAGTTTATCTGATTTTAGATTGAGACACAAGTCAGCTATAAAAATCACATAAATGGTTGAAATGAGGGTTAGTGTGCTAGGCAGTATGAACTGTAACTGTGATGGAAGGACTTTTAGGGCAGTTAGCAAGGGCTTGGAAACCAGTATTATACTGATGTGAATGCTGTCTACATAATTACTAATTTTTGTTGTTTTGTTTTTAGTTGTTTGTTCCCTTTTACAAATATATACTTTTAATTCAGAGTAACAAGTATAGATAGGAATAAATTAAGCATATGAGTTTGTACTGTTTTTCTTTCTGCAAATCAATTCTGTAGTATCCAAAAGACTTAGTTCCACTCTTCCATGGCACTGCAGTTTTAGGATGCATTAGCTAGATTGATATCCAACAGTTCTTTACTTGAATTTGTTTATTCTACCAGAAAGCATGCAAAAGTGTGTAATGGATTTAATTGCAGTGCGATCGAGCACTGAATTTGTTTTATTTGGCTTTGTCTTTTTTTTTTCCCCCTTCAGATGTTGAGTTCCATTTTGTGAGTTGAAGTTCTCATGACTCTTTGTACTGTTCAGCATATTCCATTTGTTGATTAAAGCGTTTGGTACAGTAATGCATCTATCACTGGCAAGTTACCAAGTTACTTGCCAAAGGTTTACTTTTTCTTGAGTAATGGAACTTTTCTGTTTGTTTTCACTTGTGATTAAATTTCTTGTAGGCAGCATTTCTGAGGGAAGGTAGGATCCTTCAGATAGGTGTGATAATCATGACAGCAATTGTGGCAGAACTTCTCCAGGGAAATTCTTCACCCGCCCGCTGAAATAAAGCGTTACTAAGGTGGGTTCTGCAACAGAAGATGTTTTTTCAAAGCTGTTATTTGTAGATCATTGCTCTAGCGGATATAGCAATCAGTTGAGTGAAGATGAGGAGCTTTGTTGCATGTTTCTCATAAATAAACACAGTAGAATACAAATGATCCCTTTGCCTCCACCCACCTTCACTGGTGTACGGTCTTGTTTTTAATGTTCTCCTTTTAAGAAATCAAAAATTAATGTTAAAACAATGTTTTGACATAGAGAAGATAACTTTTTTTTTTTCTTTCTGATTTTCTAGGGCAGCGATCAATAGTAAAGGCTAGTCCTGCACTATAGTAACAGCAAGTGGATTTAATGATTGAGTTTACCATAGTACATGTTCCTGCAGGTCAGAGGTCCACAGGGAGCTGGTGTGAGCTGGAAGCACAGTATGGTCAGAACACGAGGGTGATGCCTGGTCATGGCCTGACCACCAGCCCAGGCAGCTGTCTGCAATGTCTCACCCACAGGGGAATTTCGGTGAGCTGCCCAGAAGTGGTTTTTGCCATAAACAACTGTTTATTCTAGTCTACCCATGTTTTCTATGATAGAAATGGAGCATGTGCTGGGATGGTAGAGGAACCCTTGCAACCTGATGCCTTTCTCTTCAGGGCCAGTGCTCAGAACTGTGCCCTGCTACAGCTGTGTGCTGTGCTCACTTGCTGCATCTTCATGACACGGATAAGCAGGAGGAGTTTATACTACATCGCTGAACAGATGTATTGTTGACTAGTCTAAGCTCTCCCCTGGACTGGTGGCTTCACAAATACAAGGGGGTTGACACTACTAGGAGAAGGAGGATTATGATTATTATTTTATTTGCTATTTAGCAAGCTTTTTTTTTTTTTCCCAAAGGCACATGAAACAGTCTGCAGGGCAGCAAAGCATGCTAATATCCATCCCCCCTTTAGGACTGAAATAAACCTCGGCACATGAAAGCCTCATAATTTACCATCAGTGTGGTTCAAAGAGAAGCGTGACTGGGTGATAGGTAATGTAAATATTATTCAAGATTATTCTGCTGGTGTTTCTAGCCAACTTATTTGAGAGTTTTTTCATGTTTACTGTCTTGTCCTAACTCTACAGTGAATCCTGTGCTAATTAAAAAGGAGAGTAGCTTAATTTGGGAGTTTACCTTAAGCAGGGAGCTCTAAAAGCCCTCTTTAGAGTGGAGAGTGAGACAAGAAGACATCCTGATTCTCACGTAACTACTTGTGGGCAGATATACACGAGACTTTGTTTTCCATATTTTTCTTGGCTGGCAAGCAAAGTTCATTAAAATGTATAAACACTTCAAAAATAGTTCAAGTTTTTATTGTTCTCATAGCATTGCATTGCTTTGCTTTATACTAGTCCAGAGTAATTCTAAAGCCATGCAAGTGTAAATTGAGATCATTCCTTAATGTTGAAAGGTCTTGAAACACAAATGAAACCTCTTGAATGGTTGCAGTTTTTTTCTGACTGACAGAAACCTTGAGGCAACCTATTTATTCATGTCATCAGTGGATGGCAAGCCAAGATTTTTCTGGAGCTTACTATATAATCAGTTTGAAAGCTATTTGTTAGAAGAGAAAGGACTTAGTACAGTATAAACAGTGCAGGAGTTTGACACTAATGATAAAAGTATCATTGCATTAGTGTGGAGAGAGCATCTGGGCAGATGCAGATGTATCATACCAAAATGATTAAATGGTACCACTTAGAGCAGAGGTAGTTTATATTGGGGGTGATATCCAAGTAGGACCAATATACTACACTTGCCATTTGGTACCTTTTCTACAGGTAGGCTGCTTCTGCTCTAATTGTTAATGCTTTATCTGTAGCTGAAGACTGCAGTACTCAGCTGTGAAAGCACCTGGGATGCTGACAGCCAGAGCACAAAGCTAAGCCCACTTGACTAATCTTGATGTGGTGCATTTCTGTTTCTGAAAGGTTGCCTTGATATTTTCCTGGCTCTGGTGTTTTCATGTTTTGTTTTTTTTTTTTTTTGTGATGCTTTCCCTTATATCATGGAGGTAAATTAACTGTTGTTCCGGTTAAACATGCATTTTTGCTTGGGGCCAGACAGCTTGTGCTTGCACAAAGGAGACATGCTAGGTGGTTGAGAATTTCTAGGAATAAGTAGTCAGTCTGGATTTTTATTGCAAAAGCTTAAGTTTCTTTTAATTGAGTGTTCATTTCAGAATGAATTACTTAGAACTCTAAGCTTCCTGACTTACTTGATTTCCATCCCTTATTACTGCCATACCCTGTTTTCCCTGTCATTTACTAATTCAAAGCAAGACCCCCTTAATAGTTGGAAAACCTCCTGCAACATCAGAAAAAAAAAAAAAAAAGAGGAGTGGAACAAGATTTAGGTGAGTTAATTTTGAAGTATTTGTTGTATAGAGAATACAGGAGAACATGTTCAGGCTTGAATTAGGTACGTGCTTTATCTCCCAAAGAACAGCTCAGAATATTTTATGGAGTTTTCCAGAAGTTCTTTCAAATTAGGTGTCTCTACAGTACTTTAGTGAATTTTGAAAATTGCTCTGCACATCAGTGAATTTTCCTTTTTCCTTTTGTACTTAATCCCTCCAGTCTTTTGTGATAGCCCAGCCCTGCTTGCTATGTTGGAGAGACACTATCAAAATCCCCTTAAATGCCAGAGCCATTGGATAAAGGGATAAAGAGACAGCAACTTGCAGGTGATTACAGAAGTTTTTGGCTTTTTCAGATTTTGGGGCTCTGATGTAATCAGTAGAGATGCATGCTCCTTTGTAGCAACTCTCGAAGATACTGTTGACACATTTGTTTTGTTCAGTTAACTTCTGTGGCTAATTTTGAAGTAGTTCAGATTGTCTGAAAATCTGCAAGTTAAAAACCCTTGGTAAGATACATAGGTTTGTAGGCTTTAGAGTGTTTAACCTTAAGAAATTGCTAAGAAATCAACACAATTTTAGAATTATGTTTATAATGGGAACTTTTAATTTCTCTGACTTTTTTTCATCTGCACTGTTGTATCAGAGGGCTTTCTATCCGCATATATGTTATCTCACTATTTTTAGGAAAATAAAAAAGAGTAAGGAACTTTCTATTGTAATTTCGAAATAAAACTAAAGAAAAAAGAAATGCTGTGATTTGTTCTATTGCTTGGAGAATATGGGAGACTTTTAAACAATTTTTATTATGAACTGAACTTGACAGAGGTACAGCTCTGTGTATAAAAGTGTGTGGATTAAAACTTGAATGTTGTTTAGCATCTTTTGCTGTAGCAACAAGAACTTTAAAAATTTGCACTGAATCTAGCACAAAGACTAATGAATTAATCTTTTTGCCTTTTATTAAGTACTATGAAGTTAATTGCAGTAATAAGTCTTCTTTCCATATAGTGAGTTTGCAAATGTAAACCAGCATGTTGTTAGCTGTCTTAAGGAAAACGTCAGTTACATCAATATGCATTCATTTTCATAGAGATGCCCTATTGCTGCTGTTTAAAAGCAAGAAGTACTGAATGGTAACCAAATGACTGTGGTCAAATACACAGAGTTATTTCTATAGAGCAGGACTTTCAAAAGTACCAGACTGAACATCATACTTAGGTAAGTAACACCCTTAACAAGAATTCACCTGTGTTTGCCATTGGCCGTAATTCTTCTTTTTGAAATCATACAAGTCCACTTGCTTTCTTCTATTGATTGCCAGTCTCCTAGGTAGTGCTCTGTGAAGAGCAAACCTCAAAATGTTCATGCCATGTTGAAGAAGCAGGTAGAGAAACTTTAATGACTCCTTGCTTGTCTGTTTTAGATGCCTCCACAAGCATCTAGGGAGGGCTTGTCTCTTTCCTCTGCTGCTAGAGGGAACTTGGTGAGAGTTGCCAAGAACATCAGCCAACTCTGTATTTTCTGTTGCCGGATTTGCTTTGCTAAATTCATATCCCATGTATTGTATTGGATCAGGGAACATAGAATATGTTAACTTAAAACTGGGGGACTTTCTGCCTGTTTGTCCTAATGGATGGGTCTGACTTTTACACTAATGACCTTCTGGTCTGTTTATTAAATATGGCCCATGACTTTTTACTAAATTCATTCAACCACATTGTTCTTTTGCAGTTCTATTAAAGCAAGAAATTCGGTCCACCCTCAGTAGAGAGGTTATTTGTGGTGTCAGGGAAATCAATGCAAGATGCCTGTTAGCAGATTAATTTTTGTTTATACTGAGGTTTTCTTTGTTCCTGTATTAGTTTAAGGTTTTGGCTCTGATGAGCATATAGGAATGTGAATAATGGAAAAATAAGACTGAGTCTCTTTTGGACACTTGAAATGCTTCATTAGGTAAAAATTGAGTAGACGAACATGTGGAAAGTTTTTTCAAGTGTCATCATCTGGGATATATGATCTTTTCATGTTCTTGGTATCCAGTAGTCTGGAAACTAATGTGGTTGTCTTGGAAACAGGCTTTATTTTCCTTTTGCAAATATTTAGATGTGAAATTGTCTTCCTTGAAAATCTGGAATTAATAATTCTGAAAGAAATAACTGCAAATTTTAGATGCTTGTCCTATTTAAATAATTGATATGGGAGCCTGTAAGTGGTGTTTGCATTGTCTGTTTTTATTATAGTTGTATGATTATGTTGCTAAAACAATGTTTAGTTTTTTTAAGGTAAAATGCCTGTACTTATTGTTGATACTTGTCTGGGAGTTACATACAGTGAAGCACTTTGCCAGATTTCCTAGCTTAATATTTAAATAGAAATACAGCGGTATAACTGCATTGAGGAATTTAAGTTCCTAAAAATGAGCTGATACTAGCACTTCTAGTCTTTGCCTTTGCCCTGCTTTAAATAAAACAGCATTTGATAAAACCTTGAATATTCTGTGGGATTGTAGCATAATATTTGCCAGCCAAAACATCAGCAGTAGACAGAAGTACACAGGACAGCTTTTTGTTAGCTAAGGAGCTGCCATGCACAGCATAAAAAGTGAAAGCAAAATAGAAACTGAGTCAAGAAATAATGATCTTTCAAATTGCTGAGGAGTTATTAGGATTTGTATGAAAATATGAAATGGTGTTTTTGAAAGAAGTTTAATTTTCTGGTGTGTAACTTATTTGTCCAGTCACAGCAGTCTTAGAGTTTGGTATTAGTGTAATTTCATTATAATTTTTACAGGTGAAGGTGCAAGCTGAATAATTTTCCGTATTTTGTTCTCAAATTGTTAATTATGTTACGTTCTAATTTTTTTAATGTATTTTTCTTCCAAGTGTTTTTGTCTGCAGTGCCAATTTAAAAGACTCTCCAATTCTGATACGTACTTTAGACAAGAATATATTTTTTATTCTTTTATTAAAAAGTGGATTTTTTTTTTTAAATGGAGCTTTGACTGATAACAGCCTGTTCAGGGGAAGAGAACTATGACAGGATCTTGTTGAGCTACTCAAACACATTTGTGGGATTATCTTCCATTCTACCTCCCATCTCTTTCTCCTGCCCTGTTTCTTGTACTGCATCTACATTTCAGATTGCTTTCTCTTTGCAGAACTTAATTGGTCATGTTATTTTTTCTTAAATGTTGTTCTTTCTTCAAGTATGCACCAGTGTTTTGTCCTTACTTCTTCCCTACAACAAGCTCAAGCTATTTAAGGCCTGAGGTGAAGCTTATTAACATTAGTGGAGAGGATCTTAAAGACTATGGTTGTTATCAGATGATGCAAAAAGCTTTTAGTGACCTAGATTTTGGCCCTGATGTACAATACTGATGTAAGTATTGTGCATCCAGAAAGAAATATAATCACAGCTTGTTTTTCCACAAATTACAGTAAAGTCACTGTGATGCACTGCAATGCTGTTGTGCTCCATTTTGGACTTAATAGCATTTATATACATTTACCTTGATGGTCAGGCCACAGACTTCCCACTTCTATCTCAAATTATGATCTCTTAAATCTTACATGAAAAAGGACGCTAAAGTCACACGTTATTTAAACTACAAGCAAAGCTGAGCTAGTCTTTGAGCTTTTTTTGCATTCCTCTAAATAAATGTAATTTCTTCCACTTCAACAATATTAGTAAATTCTGTTAAAAAAAAGTAGTCTATTTTGTACTTTCCTGATCAAATAATAATTCTCCATGCTGATTATTAAGTATTACATAATTATATTCCCTGGCTCCATTTCAGCGGAACAATTTTTCATTCTCTTCTCCCAAACTGCAAACAAGCAAAAGCAAACAAGAAGCCCTGAACCCTTGCGGTAACAGTTCTATATAGTTACGTTATGTGCTTCTATATAGTTACGTTATGTGCATCATTGTGTTACTGTGATTGCTGCCCTGAAATTTGGTCCATAATCACATATTCTAGCATCCTTCCTGAATCTTCTGGGAAAGCATGATATTGTTAAAGTTCTTACAGCTTTTCCTTTCAGATTAACTTTTAGAAAAGTTTAAAGTTTTCTGCCTTTTCACATTCTGATCCAGTGACTTTGTCCTGGAGAAATTTGTTTTACCTCTGTGCATTATACTTAAAGATGCTGATACGGTCTTTCATCCTTAGAAATTAGCATAGACATAATTCAAAGTCTTCTAAGGATAAAAAGGAACTATTTTTTATTTTTTTTCCCATCATGGGTTTCACTTCAGGATGTTGCTGAGTTTGATTTCAGCAGTGTTACACAAAGATAAAGGAAAGTCCAGGGGAGAGATTATAGATTCATTCAAGGAGAAATAGTATTTTTGTTGGCTTTTGTAATTAAAAAAACATAAAACAAAGCAACTAATGAACACTTCCCTTTTACTGTAAGAAAGGGAGTTGATTGAAGCCAGTCATCTACAGCCAGTCAGAGAAGGATGTGGTTGCTTTTGCAGTGATGAGACCCACATCTCTGGAGGACAGTGTATGCAGTCATCACATCATGTTTTAACACAGAAGTTTCTCTCTCCGATGCTCAGCACAAAGGCAACCTACATCTGTAGCTTCACTCAGACATGTAACATTTAGATGTAGACAATTCCATTGCCAGTGCTAGATTACTCCCTTGGCTTGAAATTGCCTCTACAGGTCTTTCCATCTAATAATGAACAATAAGCTATACAAAATAGCTTATCCAAGCTGCTCTGCACACAACTTGGTTTTAAACCTTGTAATTAATTACAATTGTGTATACTTACCAGAAAAAGGAGGATTTTATTTCATTTGCATTGTTTTTCTTTGGGGGTAGGAGATGTATCCTGTAGTGAGGTGGGTTCTCCACACTTACGGTGTTAAAGGGTACTCGAGGAACCAGTTTGGCCTATGTCAAGCCATGTCATTTTTGTACCTTTTGCATTTTGCAGCTGTGATTAAATGAAGTCTGTGTGCTGCTCTTCACTTCCTGGTTTTATTTGCCTTTCTGGAGTGCCACTGTAGTGGCTGCCTCAGCAGAGAAGCAGAGACAGTGGCTATCGGTTGCCAGCTCTGATTTAGCCCTGTTCCAGATTTATTCCCCTCCCCCCCCCCCCCCCCCCTTTGGGGATTCTTCTACTGCCCTGCTCAAGTGGTGGTGATGCACGGGGGGGGGGGTTAAGAACTGGGGTCTCATCCTGGGAGGAATGGAGTTTGCACTGTTGCTGGATTAGGAAAAAATACTTTAACAATTTTATTTTTGTTCTTTCACATAACCTGAAGCTTTCAAATATTTGTATGAATGTGTTTTCCTTTAATTTCTGAGAAGAGTGGCTTGGTTTTTGTTTTAATAGTGTGAGTAATGTTTTAGCTTTAATAAAAATAATGTACTTGTTCAGATCCCCTTTTGATTCTTACATGTCCTTAAAGTTTCAACTTAGTGTTCTTATGACTGGTCATATAAGCTACTCAGTCTGGTTTTTATACGTAGCAAACCTCTGAATAAAATGTACCTATATAGTATGTTACATCCTAAATGCTGCTTAACTGAACCCTTCTGTTACTCCCAGGAAATACCAAGGGTGGCTGAAATTTCAAATGTAACAGAATAGCAGATTTTTTTGGTTTGTTTAAAGCATCTTATTCTTTATGTCTAAGAGTTTTCAGAAGGTGGTAAACGGCTCTCAGAACATCAGTATTTATAATCAAATTGCTCTCATGAAATACAGATAAATTATTCAGTGGAAGATCTAATTAAATCTGTAGCTTATAGCATAGCCACTGGTATCCTGTCCATTAGCAACCCTGGTGCTTCACTAAGCCAAAAAACTTGAGTTTACAGTATGTGTAGTTTAAGTGACAGAGGTTTACTCTGCCTCTCTTAGTAAATAATTAAACATTTTGATCGTGTCTGTGCTGTGACATTGGTAATGAAGGAGATGCTAGAAAAGAAAACCTGAGGAAAACCATTTTCTATCACAAATAAGCTTGTAACTAATTTTTTTTCTTGAATATGCCTGTTAAATTTACAGCGTAACCCTATATTTATGATCAACTAGTTTGTAATGCTTTATTTACCTGGAGCACAATGCTGTTCTAGAGGCCTTACTCTTGCCTCGGGATGTGAGTGTTCTCTGCTGCACCAGAGCTGGAGTGTCTGTGGATGAAGCATTTGGCCTCATATTTTTTGGATGTTGGTGTTTTCCAGGGTTCCATGTAA